ATATGTTGTACAGAGTTTTTTTTTTTTCTAATAAAATGTTTTTACTGTAAAGAAAATGAAAAGAAATAGAAGCTTATTCTAGTTATATTTAATTTTAAATAATTTTAAATGGTTCTTCAATTGAGATTTCCTTTAGAGAATTTTAATCATACTATTCCCTATTCCCTACCCCTTTCGTTTTTCTAGGGTATCTGGTGATGGCCACATAAATCTCAATTTCAATTGTGCATTCCAAACACTTCTTGTTGTTCTTGTTCCCCTCTGCGTTTATTTTTGTTGTTCCCGCCTCTGTTCGGGTTCTGGATTCTCAGTTTTCTCGGTTGGCGTTGGCCGCCCTTTCGGTTCGTTTTGTGTTTGCACCGGGCTCTGTGTGTGTGTTGTTGTGGCATGGCCCTTTCCCTTTCCCTGCGCAACACCTCCCCCTGATCACACTCCCGTTTGACTGGCTTAAAGGACGCTGAAGGTGAACAACTGCAACTGAAACTGGTTTTCCCACCACAACAGCTCCCCCAGCTCTCTACCCCTTGCCCCACCTCTTTTCCTGTGTAGTAACTTTGGGGCAGCAGGCAAACAAAATGTTTGCAGTTGCATTCACTGATTAGAACGTGGCAAGTTAACCAGTTTCTGTCCTTCCCCCCCATCCTCTCTGGGACAGCTTACATAAATTCACGTCACTCATACGCCACGTGGGCTCAGTTCAGTATCGCATTGGTGTTGCCTTGTTCTCGCTTTTCCAACTGCAATGGTTTTCTTTTGTCGTGCACTGCAGAAATATTTCTTGGAGATCCATTAGATATTGGGACACTGAAAGAAAGGAAAAGTGAATTTTAAAGAAATAATTCTCGTAGAACTATGAAAATGTTAAAAACATTCGGGATTATTTTAAGTAATATAAGAAAGGATAGTTTAAAGATATGTTAAGATAAGAAATCGAGGAGTTCTAAAATCCTATAAGAGGTTTATCAACATTTAAAAAGATTTGAATAGTTCAAAAGCTAATATTTCTTTGTGCTCCTTTTTGCATATTTTTCTTTGGATATTTCTTTCTTGCCCATCCTTTTGCTATATCAATTTTCCCTTTTGGTTCAATCAATTTATGAGCGCTGCTACGCGCTCGACTGCCGCCATTTGGTGCATTACTCACGTACTTTTATTGGCCCCTAACGATGGACACGCCTCCCACGCCAAGGGCCGCCCATCGTTTAAGCCATTTAACCCGTTTTAACCCTTTTGTGCATTTGCGAGGAAAAAGAGAGTTTTTAATTTTCTCAGCGCCTGCCAGGATCGCCATGGTTGCATGTCGTCCTGCCTTCATGTACTTCTTTTTTTCTGTAGTTTTTCCCCCCATTGTTGATTGGATTGTGTGTGTGTGTGTGTTGGTCAGGGAAAATTCTCAGGATGCACATAAAGGGGGGGGGGGGGGGGGGGAGAAATAAAGGAAAATGAAAATATTTACACCTTTCATCTTCTGCGATGCTGCTGCAGCTGCTTAATTAAGTTCTTGCCACAATTGCCACAAAACGAACTGGCAATAAATGAAATGCCTTTTGCAATTAAATCAAATTCAAGGATTTCTCAATGATTTTGCATTGATGACATCATTGGAGTTTGCTTTGTAATTAACCTGAAGTAACTTCATTAAATCTCAGCCAGACTTAATCAACCTGAAACTCAATAACATTGAAAACTATGCAAACACCCGCTGTTTAAAACTCTCAGCCCAAAAATTCATTAGTTTAGCTTGTTTGTTTTGGGTTTGTTCTCGAATTTCCATTAATCAAAGTCAAACGACACACATGAGATATATTCCAAGAAATGGCTTAAATGTGCTTCCAATTAAAACTAACAAAACGGAAGCAAGGCAGATAGGCGGCTAATAAATTTCATAAGTCGTAGAAATACACATAATTTTCTGGCCAAGTTTTTTTTGGGTTAGTCAAGCCAAGAAGCAAAATAAATACATAAATAAATAACCAACTGCAGTTTTTAGTTTTCAGCCCCCCCAAGCTCTCCCTGTTGGTTATGAACAAAAAAGATTTGCGAACCACAAAAGTTGCAGCTTCAATCGAAAAGTAAACAAAATGGAAAATGGAAAATGCAAAATGGAAAATGGAGAATGTTTGAGGGAAAAACACTGTGGGAGTTTGCCTATAGATAGCCAGAAAGGAAGTTCATTTCCTTGGAAGGACTTCTCGGCTGCAACTCTCCAGCCAAAACTCTTTTGTCTAATTATGCAAATTTTAAAGTGAACACGAAGTTGCCCCAACTTTACACTAGTCCACAAGAAACCCCCAAAAAACAAAGTTGGCCATCAAATTAGTTTGCGAAAATTCTGTTTGCAGATCTTTGCAGGCAATTAAATTACATTCTATATATAGATAAAAAAATCCTCTATTAAACTTTGTCAAATTAGCTTGTGCAAAAATTTTGTTTGTCTGCATAATTAAATTGTTCTAAAATTTGTAGTCAGAAATTTGTTTTTAGATTTTCTCACCCAAAAGGGTTTAATTAGTTTTCCGCAATTTGTTTGGTTATGCATTTTATGCAAATTTATGAAAAGGTTGTAAAATTAGTTATATGCGTGTGTAATATATGAAATTAACCTTTATGTTTTGTGTCTTTTAATATTATCATCCTTTTTATAAGGAAAAGTAGAATCTATTAATGAATTTTCCTATTTAATTTATATATTTCCATTACCATAGTGCTTAATTTTTCTATGAATTCTGATAGAGCATATATTAGCACTCGAAAGGCACTTGAGACACTCATCAAGTGTCACCCTCATACTATTTTCCTATTTTCCACCGTATTTTTTTCACATATTTAATTCCACTCGAGAGTTGTGCCCTCAAATTAGTTTTGTGCAAATGAAAACTATCTGTTGGATTGCGGGGCAATTAAAGCACTTGAGACATTCTGATTTCCGTTCTTGCATTTTATTCCCATTCAATTCGATGTGCAAACACACACAGCCGCATGTGTGTGTGTGTGCGTGTGTGTGGTTCTTCCTATTTTTCATCTGTGGCCCCTCCAAAATCATCAGCATCTGCCACATGCCCCGCACTGGCCTCCATTAAATGCTTGTGCGTGCTGTTTGTTTGCTTTAATTCTGTTCCGTTTTTGTTTTGTTTTCTTTTTGGGCAAAGCTGTAAATTGGTTCTCACTCTTGGTGATGGAGAAAAAAGTGAAACGACTATGAGATACCATAGAAAGAGAAAAATATCAATAATCATTTACTATAATGATTACAAAGAAATTTACAAGTCTAAGTCAAGGATGTCTCATGTTTATTTTGAATATATTTCAATATATTAAAATATATTTCATAGAGACGGTTAAAAATGTTACCAATTTGTGAAATTTAATATCATAATTGATCAGAAAACATAGATAAAGTCTAATGCTTCGATATTATTATAATAATTCTTAAAGATAGCAGGAGAATAAAATGTTTGTAATGCTTTCTCAACTTTATCTTCTTCCCTCTTTACTTTTAAAAGTGCATAATTTAATTAAACAAGTTTAGTTTTAGCTTTATATTATAGCTCTATTTTATATCAAACTGAATTTTCTACATTTCGGAAATTGTCTTACGAGTTAGATATACCCCTTCCGTCTATGATTACTGAGCATAAAAGGCCAAGTTGATGACTCAAAAATGTTTATAGACCTTTTTAGTGGAATCGAGAACGCTTTGCATTTTATGCGACTTTTTTCATTTGTTTTTCTTTTGGCGTTGCCTTTTTTTTGCTTCTCTTTTCATTGCAATAAAAGTGCAGGGCAGAATTGAATGAAAGTGAGACCGGAAGTTAGTGCTTCGCTCATTGTTGATTGCGGGAATACGAGTGTATTGCCATATGAAATGGGAATTTGGGGGGCTTTGAAAGAGCGGAACAGGGGCAGTTCATGGTCGATTGGTTTATTTGAGAGGGAAATGTTAGGCTGGAGAAGGAACCATCGCCCTTTGAAGGGGCAGGAAATCAATGCGCAGAGTATTCCGAATGTTATGACATTATAAAGCCGCTTTTGTATCGAAGAGGGGAATTTTTAATTATCCTAAAGATTGAGTTGCTTCAGTTTAATGATCTTGATCTATGCTTTATTTATTCTGTTAAAGTGTGAAGTCTAAGGGGATAAGGTTTATAAAACTTCATTATAATTATACCAAAGTTATCTAAGAACTTTCCAAAATAACAAACAAATAACATAGAATTTGTTTAAATATGTATAGGTCTTTACAGCTTCGTTTTACTTTTGATTACCATCCCTTTATTCAACATTTAAATACTGATAAATATATTTTCAATCAACCTTTTTATTATTTGTATTTTTTTAATACAATCGGTTTGCCTTTAATTGGTTTAAATATATATTTCCCACACACATACATTTAAATCCGATTTAATGCCCCACCACCATCCGTTTTCCCTTTTCGCTCTGCAGGAAATTGTCAATTTCCTTCCTCATCTCTGGGAAAACTCGTAACTAAACCACAACAAACACACAAGCAAGCAAACAATATTTAGCATATTTATTTGGCTGACATAAACATGAATTATTATTGCGGTTTTATGGGTAGAGGAAGGGCGACTTTTTGGGGGAGAGGTCAACTTTGTCCACAACTTTTTGGTCCTTAATCCATCTCATTAGCAAATATGTATATTTGATATGTATATATATTTAAGGGGAAAAGTCCAAGTGGAACGTGTGGGAAATTGCAGCTCAGTTTCGTCCTCCCAAAATGGGAGGACCAAATCCTGTTGAAAAGAGAGAAGGATTACGAGGGGAGGTAATTGCATTTAGTTTTACCAGAGCTCAGAGCCCGTCCTCTTTTTCTGGTTGTGCCCCAATTTCTCACTTATTTGTAGTTATTTAAGTTTATTGATTTTATGGAACCACAAAAATTACACACAGAGAAAGCTTTGCAATTTTTAAAATATCTCTTAACACTTTATTCAAGCTTGCTCTGCTATTTGTGTGTTTTTGACGTATAATAGTGTCTTGCTTTAGTTTTATTAAATTAAACTGTCTACTTCTCGTTTCTGGTAGAAGATAGAATAAAGCAAAAAGAGTCAGTAAATCCAAAATCTAAATAAGAATTAAAATGGAGACCCTTTCAGCTGACAAACTGCAGCCTTATCACGAATATATTGTCGAAGATCCTCCCCAGATCGAGGTTAATTGTCTGATTCTTGAAACTCAAGATGAATCTGTTGAAACTGGAATAGATGCGGCCAATGATCGGGTTGCAGATGGATCAGGCGAAGAACCATCTCTCCTCACCATCGAATACTACCAGCAGTACTTCAATGTCGACACCTTCATGGTCCTTAATCGCATCCTTAACTCCATGATGCCCAAGCGGGCGAAGAGCAATTATCTTCGTATGGAAATCAGCGAGAATCCAGATCTATATGGTCCCTTTTGGATCGGCGTCACCCTGATCTTCTCGATAGCCATCAGTGGAAATTTATTCAGTTACTTGCAATATGCCAGGAATGACTACCAATGGCATTATAACTTCAAATTGGTATCGTATGCAGCCACTTGTATCTTTATCTATGCTACTCTCTTGCCTGTTGTTCTTTGGGCCATGTTCAAATACAGCCTAAAGCCAGTGGATTCTGTGGAAATTAATAGTGGCAGCTATACCCCAACTCTGATATCGCTCTTGTGCATTTATGGCTATAGTTTGGCTATATATATACCCGTTTCCATTCTGTGTGTGATCAATATATCGATGCTGAAGTGGCTACTGGTGATCCTTGCGGCTTTGCTTTCGGGATTTGTATTGATTGATGTTATGAAGCCGGCTTTAAGGAACTCAAAGTACTCAAGATTTCTTATATTTGGAATACTGAGTGCTCATCTTATAGTATCTGCTGGATTTCTGATGTATTTCTTTCAAAGTTACCAGGAGTCTTTGGTGACTACAACAGTTACCAAGACAGTGCCTGAAAATCATTAAAGCACTCACAATATTATTAAAGATATGTAAATATATATAATTGCAACATATTTTCCCCGCGTGTAACCATAAAATAAAACAAGAAGAGCATGTGAATTTTGCAAATGTTTTCATTAGCCAAACTTTGATTACATGCTAAGCTTCAGTTAGTCCTTCGTCCCTTCCCTTATAAACTTTTTGGCCGCATTTATTATTTAAATGATTTTATGTGCTCCACCCTCACACACACATGTGTGTGTGTACTTGTGATACAAAGGGGAAGGGGTCCAAGGATTGATGGTTAGTCACTTCAAAAGTCAATTAAGTTGGCCAGTCCATTTTGCCCGAGACCCCCAAAAAATACCCATACACACACGCCCCCCCAAATTGATTGGCCCAGCATCCTTTATGGAAGTGAGAAGGGGGTAGCAGCAGCTTATTTTTCCTGTGCCCTTAATCCGTTTCGATTTCAAATAAAATTCATTCGGAATGCTGAAAGTTTTTCTTCAGGCTAGAGTGGCATAGAGAAGGGGCAACGGCACGTCGTTTTCCATTAAATTTACCTACGCAAAGTAAGAAATAAAATGTCAACTAAAACAACATGGGGGAAAAGAAGACGCAGGTAAACCGGAAGAAAATTAAAAGGAATTTAGTTTACTTACCGATGTTTTAAATAATTTAAATTTAATTTAATTTAATTTAGTTCCAAATTAAGGTATATTTTTAGTTAAAATATTGTTTTCAAACCATTAAAGGTCTTTTAAAGGAACTAACTTTCTGATGCCAAGCCTTTTCAGCTTTCAATTGAATTAAAGTATCGTATCAGATATCGATCATAAATAAACTAAAATAAAAATGAGTAAAATTTTTGAATTTTTTGAATCCATTTTTTTATGGCAATTTTGTCGAAAAATCAAAAGTTTTAAAATCTCATAAGTAAGACAAAAATGCATTTATTTTAATTCGGAAAACTTTCCTATGTTACTTTTTATTAGGGAAATAAATTTGCATTCTCAATTTAACTTTTTAAATAATTTAAATTTTTATTAAATTTTTGGACAATTTTAATGATGTAACCCCTTATAAAATTTTGAAAAAAATTTTGAAAATATATTTTTTTACCAGACATGACTAGATCGATTCGGCTTTTCATGCTGATCAAGAATATGTATGATTTGTAGGGTCGGAAATGACTCCTTCACAGTTTTTTAAGCTTCGGAGGTATAAAAATATATCCTAGATTTGATTTCTTCCACTCTTGATAAATTCAATCTGAGCGTCAATTTTTCTCAGTGTCTGCCAAATTTTCTTCATTTCCAGTTCAGAACACAGGAATATAGGAATAAAAACCAAAAGAAACTGGTAGTTGGCAGCGTGAATCGGCTGGGGTTCACACGGCGTATGCGTAACTTTTATAAGGACTCCCTCAAACTCGTACAAACACACTCACACCCCACTAACACACACACACACACACACACTGGAGTCCAAAGTCCAGAGAGACCCTCACGTGCCAGTGCAACACTGGAGATAAAAAGCAAAAGTTAAAACCATTTCACACGCAATTTTTAGCCTACTGTTGTTTGCACAGCCTTGTGACTGTGACTGTTGCTTTGCCTTTTTGGTCACCCGGGGGAAAAGTCAGGTAGCAGCGCGGTATTCATGAGGAAAACAAGAAGCAGGAAAAGCTATCCTGAGGGGGGACGGAGCAGGACTCCTCTGAGTGGGCGAACGAGTGCGTGTCTCGGCAGCCTAAACAAATGCAACACTTTTGGGCCCAAAACAAGGCTTCCCAAGGCCCAAACTCCACCTCCACCTCCCTCTCTATGACTACAAAATTTATATATTTCCTCGCATGGCAGGCAGCCGCAAAAGTTTTTCCAGGTGCGGTTTTTGCGGTACGGTTTTTCAGGCCTCAGGGCGATCCAAATGCAAATTAGCCAGGGTTCGGGTAATTGAAATGGACGGAGAGGACAGACGCGTGAGGTGGGGTCCTGCTAAAAAGTCAGGTCGGTGGAAATGATTGATATTTTCCCTTTTTTTCTGCGAGCTGATAAGGGTTTTCTCGATAGAGTGTAAGGGGTGTGGAAAACGGTTGCAAGGGTTTGACAAGTTTACTTGACTTTTGATGCGTGGAAAAGTTTTTTAGGGGGAAAATAATAAATGTTTTGCAATCTAAAATCAATGTAGAATATAATTTTCAAAAAGGTAACTAGCCAATTTCTTAATTTTTTATAATACATAATTTAAATTTACATAAAGTAATTAGAAAATTCCCTTAAAATTATGTTAATTATTCAAAAAGAAAAATTGTTTTGCTTAGTAAATGTCTTCCCAAAGTTCAACTTAATGCCATCTTGATGAACCCACTTAAGAAATCACCCCGATAAACCTTAACCTATCCCTAACTTAGGTGTAATCCCTTTTATTTTATCTTTGCCTTCGTATTTTATTTCTCTTTTTCCAAAGGCATTAAACAGTTGTTACTTTTTTTTATTGCCAACAAAAGGTTCGCAATCAAATGGAGAACTCGAGATACCAAAAAACCTAATCAAATTTTTGTTTGGTGAGTCTTCTCTGGATTTTTGCTCTGCAAATTCGCTCGCTGGGGAATTTCGCAGAGAAAAGAAAAGGGAGAAAAGATGCCACAAAGAGAGAGATAGAGCGAGGCTGGCTTCTCTGCTTCGATATTTCCCAGGCTTTTAATAACTGAACAAGCCGCTCATTAATAATTTAAAATAGAGCACCAAAATATGCGATTGCCCCAATGGCCCCGGTCTTTGGTACCCAAACTTGGGTCCCACAAACTTTGTGGATGCCTTTGCACTGTCTCTCTCTCTCTCTTGGGGTATCTTCCTCTCTCTCTCTCAGTATCTCTGGCTGTGTTTCCCCATCGCTCTCTGTCTCTCTCTCTCTCTGAGCGTATCGATGATTCATGCTTTTTGGTGCTTCGGTTGCTGCACAAAAAACAATGGTCTGCTGTTGCTGTTTCTTAAATAATATAAAATATATATGTATGAGCGTGTATATTTTTGCCAACACTTCCTTGTCTCAAAAAGCAGCGTAAGCATTTTTCTCTTTCTTCTCTTAGCTTGTTTTCTCTTCTTTTCATTTGTTTTCTTTTTTATTTGTTTACTTTTTAGTTTTTCTTGGGGGCTTTGTTTTGGGTTGCTGAATAAGCTTTTTGTTTGGTACAAAAAAAATTGGTTGTAAATAAGTTTTATTTTTATTCAGAGTAAAATATTTCAGTTATGAAATTTTACAATTAATAAGTGACATTATTAAGTACTTAATTTAAAAAAATCATTCAATTCAATTCATTCAATTCAATCATCATTCAAATAAATATATGGACTCCTGATGAAGACTTGTTTATAATATAATCAAAAATAATATAAATAATTTAATAACATATAGGTGTTGATATTTCATTAGTCTCCTCTGTTTTTCTCTCTGTATTTGTTTGTGACGTAAGCCGAGTGAAGCGTATTAAACCGGAACGCAAAGCTCGTCTTCAGCTGTTCAAACTTTGCCGGCTGCGCTTCAACTTGTTTTTCTTTTGTGCCTTTTTTGCTTGAATGAAATTTCATAGTAGTGAAAAATTGACGAGGAAAACTCACCACGACGTCGCAGCTGGCGTCGCTGCTGTTGCTGCAATTTCCCCACAGCAAAGTTGCCAAGAAATTGTGTGGCTGACGCTGCTGTGTTGCTGATACAATGTTGCTAATGCAGCAGCTGTTGCAGATTGCAGCTGCTTGAACAATATTTAAAAAATATTTATTAAATTGCCAGGCATTAAATTAGTAATTTAACTAATTTTTATTAAAATTATTATCAATTTCCTTGTACATTCTACAACATAAAACTCACTTTCAGTTCAGGTTGAAAGCAGGTTCGAAGCTTCGTTCATACCCTCGAACTTCGAACATCGAACAAGTTTGCTGGCATGAATATTTGCAATTTTCAACTTTGATTAAGCATAATTCATTATCCAAATAGCGTAGCTTCCTGTCTAACTAATTTATTTAATAGCTTAAACAATTCTCTATTGAACCCCATTTAAGTTACCCAAATAACTCACCTACGTCAAAAGTTATTAGTTTTACAACGAAACAACTCAAATGGGTCCCACTGTGCTTGTCGTATGTTAAGGCTGAAAAATCTTTAAAAATACCAACTAACGACGAACAGTTCCAATTTTGCGTTCGGACAGTTCGGATGTCTCAGTCTCTCTCTCTCTTTCTCTGTACAGCCCTCTCTTTCGCGCCCTATACGTCGCTCTCTTTCTGTTGAGTGACTCTAAAACTGGCATAACTCGTGTACGTCACTTGTGCGGTCTAAATTTTTGTCGCAGCCTCATAAATCAGAGCTTAAATAGCAAATAACCAGAAACAGGAACAACAATAACGTTGGATAATAAATAAAATAATCATATTTAATACATTTTTATTATTATATTTTGTGCCAGACCGTTATTGTTGTTGTTCCTCCTTGCTTATATGTTTATTTGCTCCGCGTGTGTGTGTTTTGTGTTTGTTTATTTGAATTGTTTGCTATTTGAGCAGCCGCCGTTTCCCCGAAGTGCGCACCCCAAGCAACAACGGTCTCTAGTTTCAATTAGAAGTCCGAGTTTTGTTACCCCTTTTGGCCTTTTGGATACCCTCCTTCCCTCTATACACACATATAAAGCCCCTTCCCAGCACCCCCGCGTTTTTTATTTGAATTTCGCTTATTTGGCGAGGCTTTGCACGGGTTGAAGTGCGTTTCAGCGGCGAAAAGGAAGCCGAAACTGAAGGTTATGACTGTTTATTATTATTGCTATCTTCGGGTGCTTTTTTCGCTTCTTTTCTTTATTTTTTGGCAATTACGAGGCCCACAGTTTAACGTTGTCCAATTCATAATAAAATAAATACAGTGGTCAGTGGAGAAATACTTGGATGTAAAAGAATAGGAAAAGATTTAGAAAAGATGAACCAATAATTGGATACTGTTGAAAGCATGCATTTTGTATAATTAGCACAGTAATTAAAAATGTGTTAATTGGAAAAACATTTCTAGCCAACTAAATATTTTCTTAAGGAAGAGAGTTTGTTTTTAGATTGTT